AGTCAGCTACAATACAAAATAAAAAGTGTACTAAATAAGAATTTGGAGAATAAAATGATTTTAGTTATAACTTAGCTCAATTTGAACTACAATGTAGTAAAATAAGAAAGCTTAACACCAGGTTTAATTTGAAAGTTAGATTGTAATAGAAAAAATAATGTTATATTATAAAATCAAAATTTTCAATATCTCAGATCATTTTACCTTCGCATTATTATAGCATCAAATAAAGCCAATATTTCTAAATAATATAGTTATATAAAGGAATTGAGATTAGAAAAAAAAAGTGAAGATTATAATTAGTTTTAAATACAAGTAGATTGCTAAAAAGTTTACTAGAGTTGGTTTTTTAAGCCGACTTAGAGCGAATATATTAAATCTGACTTATAACTGTTTATAAGCAGAGCCTTAAGAATTATATAAATAATAATTTTAATATGAAACACAGATATATGCAATTTGCTTTCAAGATTATTCTAATATTGATAGAATTAGTTAAGAACTAGTCCGATCTTACTAATTGATATTAAATTTTTATACTAAACTTTTAAAGAACCAAGTTAAATTTCTTCTAATTATTATGCATAAGTCAAACTTCAAGCCAATTTTGGATCATCTGACTGGATTCTTAAAGCTAAGTTGGATCAAACAGGACTTTTAACTTCTAAGTATAAGTTTATATAAAAAAATCAAATGTGTTTTTAAAGTTGAATTAATAAATATACAAATATGAGTGCTACCAAGAGAAAAGAGTCATTTTGGTTAATAATACTTTGGGTTTAAGGGGTTTCTAATACATTCAATCCATATATGTAGTAACCTGACACCCCTTCTCTTCAGCCAATTAAAATGTAATGTGGTAACCTGACTAGGGATGGAAAATTACCGTAATTTTACATTATTTTACGAAATTTTGTGTAATCTTCTGAAAATCAAAATTACATGTAATTTTTATTATGTAAATAATTTTTACAAAAATTTTTATAAAGCTTGCATTAAAAATAAATAAAAAGTATAATTCCGAACATAATGATGGATATCTATTAGTGCTGGCTAAAATTTTGTAATGTCGGTAAAATTATCATGTGACAATGCACTATTCAATGTAAAGTTACATTACAATTTCGTAAGTTACAATGTAATTTACATGAAACGTAACAAAGTAATTTATGTAATACATCCCTAAACCTGACACCTCTCTTCCTTTATCCAGCCAATTAAAATGTAATGTGGTAACCTGACACCCCCTCTTTCCTTTCCAGCCAATTAAATTTAATGTGTTAACCTGATACTCACACTTCCTCTTTTCAGCTAATTAAAATATAACGTAGCAACCTGACACCTCCTCTTCTTTTATCTAGCCAATTAAAATGTAATGTGATAACCTGACACCTTCTCTTTCTCTTTTCAGCCAATTAAAATATAACATAGTAACCTGACACCCCTCTTTACTTTTCCAGCCAATTAAAATGTAACGTAGTAATCTGACACCCCCTCTTTCCCTTTCTAGCCAATTAAAATATAACATAATAACTTGACACTCCTTTCTTCTCTTTTTTAGCCAATTAAAATGTATAACATAGTAATCTGACATTTTCTCTTCTTTTATCTAGCCAATTAAAATATAATGTGGTAACCTGACACCCCCTTTTCTCTTTCTAGCCAATTAAAATGTAACATAGTAACCTGACACTCCCTCTTCTTTTATCTAGCCAATTAAAATGCAATATAGTAACCTGACATCCTCTCTTCTTTTATCTAGCCAATTAAAATGCAATGTAGTAATCTGACACTCCCTCTTCACTTTCTAACCAATTAAAATGTAACATAGTAACCTGATACCCCCCTTCTTTTATCAAGAAAATCTGGCATATCTGAAATATGTGTCAGGTTTGTAGCGCAGCAAAATTTCTTTAAAATTCATTAATGTTAGGGTTAGCATTTAAAATAAGGTTAAAGGTTGGGTGGATAAATAGCAAAATCGCTTGAAAAAAACTTTTTGTTAGAGCACTAAAGCTACTTCTTATACAGATTTTTGAGAAATAGACGATTTTGACAAAGTGAATATTTTGATTTTTAAAATATGAGCCACAATTGTGCCACAAACCTAACACACATTTCAGATCTGATACTTGTATTCCAAATTGGTCAAAATTTTCAAATCGATTATATACTGCAGTATTGTCGATTAAAGGGATCAAAGTAACTAATATCAAAATAATGAATTTGAATCTATATTACCTGACTTTCACTATACTCCATAACACAAAAAATTTTTTTTAATAAAATAAGTGCATGAGAGTAAAAACCTGAAAATAGATTTAATGATATACTATGACTGATTACAGGTTTTAATTCTCATGCACTCAAATCATATTAACTTTATTATATAGTTTTTATATAGTAAAAAAAAAAAATATACTGAATTCTTATAATCATTTATGCTATGTACTAATTACCTAACTTCTTTTATATACTTATTCAACATCAAAAAAAGATTGAGATTTCACAACGACTCTTGGCCACATTTCAAAATATGAAAGCAATAAAGAAAAATCGTCTAGAGTAGTCAAGTTGGTTTGAGATTGCTGATTTCGACACCAATTTTTTAAATTGAGGTGAATAGTTTTTTTATATTTTACAAGCATAGTAGTTGTAGAGAAGTATTTCCTACATTTTTTACAGCACTGTCTTGAATGATCCTTAGCTAAGAGAAAGGAAAGGTGTTCGTCATATGCGAGAATTTTTAGATTACTAAAGTATTGAAGCATGTGTTAAAATTAAGGTAGTGATCATCTTTTCCTTTAGTTACTGGAGGTAAGAAGCCGTTATTTTCACCTAAAAATGCAGCAGCTTCATCAGCTTATTTTGAAGTACAACACAATAAATCATTACATTTTTTAATATCTAAGGAATATCGACAAATTTGACAATAAGTTTCCATCCATGACCAAGATACGGGCATATTATCCTCCGTTATATTCTGCATCTCAGTTGTTTTTAATTCTAATGAAAATTTAACATTGACAAATAGATTTTTTTCTTCATCAACATATTTGACATAAACAGGTTTGCTGAGAATAGGGTCTTTTTTCCATAAATCAGCAAGAGCCTGACCAGCATAACGAAAGTTAAGAAGACCCAATTCATAATTACATACTTCTCCTTGTGAGTTTAGATGTTCTCCAAAATGATTAATTTTTAGTGTAACTCTAGCAAGCTTTTCTGAAAGTGTCGCCATACTTCTCTCCACAGGATTATATGATGACTGACCAGGTGTGTGTGTTCTAATTGTCATATAATCCAAATCTAAATAACGAAATAGCTTACAATACTGATTAATGTTTTTAAATGACAGAGGTTCTCATCAGGACCCGTCTACAAGAATAACCCACAGAGGTTTAACCTCTTCGTCATGCTTAAAGATTGTAGAAAAATCTTTATTATCTATAGAGATAGTAAAAAACAAATAATAATAATAATCAGTAAAAAATCAGTTGATAATTAAAATCTGAATAGCTACATCCAGATTTAAATATATTATTATAATTATTACTTGGTTTTATTTAGTTATTTATAGTAGAACTTTTGAGTTTATTACAGCTATTCTAGAGCAATTGATAAAAATTATTTCGGCCGAATTCGATAATTTTTGAATTCAGTATTGTCAACATTGGATTGTCGATATTATAGTAATTCCAATAACACAGAATTTAAAAACTTATCGAATTTGGCCGAATGGTCATCGGTCAATTTTTATCGTTGTTTCAGAATTTATAAGAACAGCTGTAATAAAAGAATTTTTAAAAATCTGCTATATAGTTTTTTACTAATCTATATAATAGCAAAAATAATTCTTAATAGATCAGCAGTACTGAACCTGATGGGATTAATAAAAAAATTTATTTGAATACTGTTTTTGATAAGGTTCTAAAAACAAACCCTAATCCTAATTGTTTTTTACTATAATAGTATAGTATTTTAGATGTTCTTTTTTAGAACCTTATCAAGAACGGTATGTGGATTATTTTTTTGCTACCTATCAAAAACAGTACCAACAATCCATCAAGAATGGTATTTTTGCTACATAACAGATTTATAATAAATTTTTTAAAAATTTAGTGTTATATCTAGTGATTATTTTTTATTGTGCAGACTATGCATGGCATACCAAAACAAATTGTATGCATATTTCTTCTGAACAGATGTGCGAATGCGCACAGAAAAGTTTCAAATTGTGCGGTGTCCGCACAATAAATATTAACTGAAAATTAACTCTGGTTATATCCCTTATTCATTAATAAAGATATTTATTATTTCTAATTACCTACTAAAGACAGAATATCTGCCATATGTGAAATAGATGTAGAACTAATATGACATTGTGCCCAAATAAAAATAGACAATTGCAAAGCCTTATTTGATTTATTTGGGTTTATTGCTAAATATACTGACGGCGTTAATTTTTATGATGAGCCAATAAGAAAGTTATGATCAGAGACAGATACAGGTTCACGAATAGTTTGCATAGTTCAAAAATGTTTTTCTACAGCTGGAATACCAACTGAGATCTTCACTTTATCATCTTGTGAAAGTACAACAGAAAAATCTTCAAAAGTTGCAGCAAACTGTTTTATATTCTTGACGGATGCAAGACAATAATGCTCATCCACATAGTTACTTCTTTTATCTTTTGAAACACCTGCAATATCAACAAAAGCTGGATGGTGGTGGGCTCTTTCAGCTAAACTGCGGTTTGACTGAAGTAAGATGTAGTTTCTTGTAATTGTTTGGGATATGTATATGTTGTAATTTTCTTCTAAAGCACTTCTAAGATGCTTTACTATTCTAACCTTAATGAGCTCATGTCGTCTTTATGCATCTGCTTCTCCAAATTCTATGCAGCTATAAATTTGTTCATGAAGATTTGGGTGCTGGAATAGAAGAGGTGAATGTTCAGGAGAATTATATCTTATGATGACATTATTATCTTCAAGTGCTCAAAGTTTTTTCATTTCAGATTTTTGTTGATTATGTGCATGCCTCTTGAGTTTTCTAAGTCGTTCTTCTTCTTCTCTTATTTCTTTTTGAACTACACTTTTTTGTGAACTAAGGTCATTATGAAGCTGGATATTAGTTGTTATTGTAGTCATTGTATTTAGTTCTTCTAATTCTTTTTGTAATATTTTTATTGTATTAAAAGCTTGCTTTTGCAATGTTGTATTAAGACAAATTGGTTCAAATACAGAACTTTGTTAATTGCAGGGTTGTTGAATAGATTGATTAGAAAGAGATGACGAAGGCTTACACTAGTTGTGGAAGTTGTTATATAATCATGCAACTAAAATGGAGTGGTTAAGTATTCTTTAATTTGTTTTTCAATTTCTTCATTTCCTTTTTTTTTACAGAGTTCTACTCCGTGGCCGCCTCATTATATAGTGCTTGCTTATTCGCTGATAGCATTCCGCTTGATGCTATTTTGTAGTAGATATATGTATTAACAAAATGATAGTAAATATTTGTAGAATTTGAATATACATATTTTTTGTCGAATTTTGGCGCAGACAAAAAAGTCTGCATCGTGAATTGCCAAAAAACTGTTTATTGAAAATAATGAACTTTTAATAATTTTTTTATATATAATTTTTTTTATTTTAGAATAATACAACGAAACTTATATTATAATAAGGCGATAAGATTTATTAAGCAGGTCTTTATTCTATTTTAAGAATTTGAATTTTTTTTTTACAGTATATGCTAAACGGGTTTAATTATGAACATTTAGTTCAAATTAGTTGAGCAAAGAGATTAAGATGTAATTTAATAGATTATATACAGAGAATAATAAAAATTGTTTTGAGAGATATGTATATTTCTTAGCTTTGAAGTTTTAATCAAATAAAACAACGATTTGAGAAAATACTAAACTAAAAAATCAGGTCTAATACAAATTACCTATACAAAATACTCGTTGAGTATTGTATTAAGTACTTTGTACAGTCTTATTGATATAATATGGAAATCAATATGTGGTAATATGAAAAATGCTATGCAAAATACCTATATATTATTTCTGATTAAAATATACTATGTAAAATACTGTTATTTTAACTGGGAGTACTAATGCTTGGAAAAATTTACTTGTTTTATTTTTTATTGCTTTTTATGAATCAAGAATTTATTTTCATCTTTGAAGTTTAAATGCTTTTATGCATTTGTTTAAAAATGGGCCAATACACATTTGTGCATAGAATCTATATGCATTTACACTTTCGAATACCAATTCTAGGTATATGATTTTGTTAAAAATTATCTGCCTTGAACAATACTTCTGTTAGAATTTTTATGTCTGCATGCTATATAAATGCAGAATAACTCCTACCTGTGCATTATCTTGGGCATGTACATTTGCATTAATGAGATAAAGATTAATTCTCCTAGATTTTTTTTTTAAATAACACCCACATAAGTAATACCAAAGAAAAACCTGTAATTATAACGCATTTGATAAGTTTTACAGATTTTCTCTTAGTAGATTGTTTTGCAATTTTTTCATCATGATATAGTATATTTGATAGACTAATTAATGAACTATTTTAGTTACAATATTACACATTAATTTATTTTGAAATATAAAAGTTTTTAATGTGCAAAAACTAGTGTAACTATTTAGATCCAAATCAATTTAATTGTGTTTTAATTAAGTCTTTAAATAAAATTAAAAATTGAGCTAAAGAGCGAGTTAAACTGCATTTGTAAGACAAAAATATTCTAAAAATAGCATAATCAAATAATATATGTTTGTGGGTACTTACCATAACACATATTTAATAATATAAAAAAAAAATACTAGTCTTCTATTTACTAAATCATCAGGTGAATAATCCAAGTTGTTGATATATCTAAACCTTCAGGTGAATAATTCAAGTTGTTGATATATCTAAATCTTCAGGTGAATAATCCAAGTTGTGAATATATCTAAATCTTCAGGTTAATAATCTAAGTTGTTGATTTATTTGTACATAAAATTAGAATGGGTGTGGGTTGGCATCAGATTGAATTTGTATTGGTGATGCATAAGGTTAAAATAAAAGAATTCAATTGATAATTTATATAAATGATAATAAGAAAACAAAAATCTGGATTCTTAAATTTATAACATGCCGGATTAAATTTTTCAGATTTTTTAAAACAAGTTTTAGATTTAAAAGCCAAAGGCTAGTTTTTTCTAAATATTGCTCATTGCTGTATTATATATGTGACCGAAATATTTTGTTATATTGTAGATATAATATTAATATAATAAAAACAAATTTTTAATTCCATCTTAACATAAAAAGTTTGTGAATATTTCTACAGTATAACTCAGTATGAAGTGCACAATAAATCCTTTATTATTTTTACACCTATTATATGCATCATATAAATGCAACATAAATTTCATTCTGATGCAACTCTATGTCTTTTCTATGACTATATAATTAAATATGCCGTAATTATTTTTGATTTGGGCCGTATTTGTAATTATTTTCACTTTCTGGGCCCTTATTTGTAAATTTCTCTACATTAAATTATTCATTGCTCATATTACTATCTATATATATTACTATTATAACCTATGGCATATTATAATACCTGCTATATACTTATATTATGATTTATGTCAATGCTACAAAAGTTGCAACTTTGTACATAGTGAAAGTTGCAATTCCGTTACCTCAAAATGTTTGCACCTCTAAGGAGAAGTACTTTTCGCATATAGTAATTCTAACTTAATGAATACTGTGAGAAAAAGGTTGATTCAAAGGAAGCATAGTTGTAATTCTACACTAGCTATTGCTCCAGGAAAATTTGTAACTAGCCTTTTTTTCAAAGAAACTTGCAGTTTCATATTATAGCTACTGAATATAAATATTATTTATTATATTTTAATAAAACTTATCTTGGAATTATAATAAATGGAAATAAATTTTAATTAATTTATATAAAAAT